CACCAAGACTTATCCATTCCTTGTCTTCATCCGTTTCTTCCCCACCAAGAACTTGTCTAACTAATTTTGATTTCTATATATATATTAACTTATGTCCTATCTTTAGAGACACATAAGAGAGAAGAAGTTTTGGGTTGCTTTTGTTATGTCTAATGTGAGATTATCAGGCAAATAAAAAGGGTGTGTGTGATAAAGCTTTGGGTTCAACCAATCGTGCAGTATTGGTTAACCATACGACTTAGTCGGGCTGTTGTATCCTGGGGCGGACAAGTCAAGGTTTTTTCTGCTGCACCAGTGTGAGGCTTTGCCTAATCGCAGAGGGCTTGAATCTCCTTAAAGAGAGCGAATTTTCCGCGCCTCAGCCCGTATATTAATTGTTGTAACTTTTATTTTGTGTATTTTCTGGTGTTTTATTTGTAAGTATCACCTACAATTTTAAGGAGATTTAATTAGTAAAAGTTCATGGAGCCAGTACTAGAGAAGCCCAACGAGAATACCGGCGATCTCAACAAGCCCTTCCGGTTCAAGGGAGCCCATTTTAAGAGATGGAAAGGCAAGATGCTTTTCTAGGATCAAGGATTTTGACTCTAAGCTCTGATACCATGTTAGAATAGTAGAGAGAGAAAATAATATGTATTGTATTGAATTAATGATTTTACAGTACAAAGCTATGGGTATATATATAGGACTATGTAGGAGTGTTGTACAAAGGAAAGGGAAAGAATAAGGTAGGGAGAGAATAAGGTAAGGAAAGAATAAGGTAGTGAAAGAAAAGGGCAAGATTTGAACATACCTAATAGGGAGGAGCCTATAATCTAAATATGGAATACAATACAAAGAATAATATATACATATATAATATGTTAATTATATACATATATAATATATTAATATATTTCATATATTAACATCCCCTTCTTAAATTATACATGTTTGTCCTTTTTGAGTTTTACAGAAAATAAATTTAGGTGTTTGTATGACCCACAATTATATATTTATGAAATATGCGGCTCAAAATTTAAGAATTCTCTCATCAGACAATGTATAAATTTAGGAATGTGATGACTTCTCTCATTAGACAATGTATCCAATGGTGGAAATTTTTCTAATAACACAGGGCTATAGTGTAAATTAAAGCATGGCCAAGTGAAAGATTCTGGAAAATTTGAGCCTAGAATAGTTCTCATGCAAACAAAAGGAATCACAGAGTTAAAATTGAAAGGCCAATTAATATTTTGAAAAGTTAATTGGCTGCATCGGCCTATAATTAATACATTAGGGTACATTATACTTTCACCCTTTGAAGGATATTTTTAAACCTCTGTAAATTTGTTTAAGTGACTTTGGTATGTGACTCTATGGACTACGATTTCAAAAATTTACCGATTGGGAAATTCACCACAAACTGACAACCCAAAGGCAAAAGCCATGCGACCTTTGTAAACCAAAATCAGTCAATACATTGTTCAAAACTCACAAACCCAAATGAAATTTAAAATAATAATAATAAAAAAAGTATTTGTGCATTAGAAATACCTCTTGTTTGCCTGCTTTTGGTGGCCCTCAAATCCCACCGTCCACAACGAAGTTTTGAGCACGGCCTCTCCGTTTTTGCAGCGAATGATGAAGTTATACTTTGTCTAGGTAGGGTTCGAAGCTGGTTGGTTTGCATTTTATAGAGCCAAGAATCGAAAAATGATGGACATTGATGTTACAAGTCCCGATTGTGTGAAGATTTAATTCATTTTGACTAAGACCAAAGCTAGGGCACGATTTGGGGAAATCTGTGAGGCAGAGAAGTTGTGGCTGTTCAAAGAGGACCCGTACGAGCAGATGCCCCCTATTGCCTCAAGCCTATGCGACACAGAGATGAAGGAGGTGATAGATAGTGTCGGTGCATCTAATGCGGAAGATTTCTCAAATCTTGAACAGCGTATTGATGGAGGGAAGGCAAGTGGGTCTCTTCGAAGGCACTTGGGCGAGTGCAGATCTTGGCATACAGGTATGAATCGTCTTCGTTTACACAGCCGATAGAGAGCCGTTGGACTGCCTTGAATGATTTTCTTTGTGTCACAGAGATGAGGTCACAAAGGTTCTTTTGAGAGAGAGAAGTTATGACAGAAGATGCGTCTTCAGAGAAGTTTTAAGAGAGAGAAAGGAATTTCTCTGAGATGAGTCTTTAGAGAATATTTCAAAAATTTGTTTGCCAAACGTGTTTTGGTACTTTTTTCTCTCAAAAATTGTTTCTGAAATACAAACCAAACAAGGCCAGTATCTTCAAACTAACAAAATTACCCATACCACCGGAATTTTTACCTGCAAAAATATACCAATCCAATGAATCCTGTACTAGTGTTATTGTTGGATAATTAATGAAATTCAAGTGGAACAAACATGACAACATCAAAAAAAGCTTCTTTCAAAATGGACAAGCCCTTATGTTGAAAATTCCGATGGAAAAGCAATGTGTTGTATCTAAGCCATGTTATGAAGTAGTTTGAACTAAATTAGGTTATTAGTTTGTAAACTTGGAAATAACACAAATTTTATTGAATTTTTGGTTGTCACTTTTCAACTCCAAGACCTTTTGGCGCTATTTTCTTCAGTGATTGGTTGATTTCTTGCCAATCTTTTTTTTCTTTTTTGTCTTGGACTAGGTGTTGCTTTTGTGCAACTGGTTTAGGCTATGATTTTTCCAACTTTGTTTGCAGCTCTGCTTGGCTCTTTTCATTTTTTTTATTGATGTAATGCGATGCACCTCTGTTATACTCTTTATTTTACATCAATATATTTCTCTTTTTGTGGCCGATCTAAAAAAAAACTCACAAGACTCTAGTTGCTAATTGGAAGTTAAAAGGAAGGGTAGGGCTCAACCAATAGAATTTTTCAAGTTTCAAATCTTAAATGGAACAATACATCTTTATAAATTATATTACAAACTTCAACAATTGATACTCATAATACCAGAATAGATGCCCAATATAAATTATAATGCACAACGAAAATTAATCGGAAAATGCAAACGAGGTCCAATAACTAACGATATCACCAAAATACATGTTACATACAAACAAATATATATATATACATAATTATTTTTGTATGTAAAGTATTAGTAGCATAAACCATCAAAAACATGAATTCGAGAGTAGTACAAAGATGGAGAAACAGAATTACCTGCATGTATTCGGATTTTCTTGAGTAGGTTAATTGTTATTCGAGTCGAAAAAGAAGAGAATCAAATTGATGTATTAGGGTTTTATGAGTTGCAAGCGATCGTATAACAAGTCTTTTTGGGCGGGAGTGAGGTTAGTCAGCCTTGGTTTTTGGGTTGGTTTTTTTGTTTTTTTTTTAGTTTGAGGTTAAAAAATTTTATTTGGAATAAGTTTTTTAATTTTGGGAGCTTTTTTGATAAATCTTTTTTCTAAGAGCTTTATTCCATCCAATTCATATTCTTTTTGACCATTCCATTAGGTCCTATTTGAGGTAAGAAGACTAAAATACCCTTTTCATCTACTTATGTTCCATTTACTCCACATTATTTTCTAATGTTTCAATAAGTCTTATGGGTGACATAATTACCAAAATACCCCTAATGTGAATGTTCACATCGTCAATGTAAATGTTCCTATTTGAGGTAAGAAGACCAAAATACCATTTTCATCTACTTATGTTCCATTTAGTCCACATTATTTTCTTATGTTTCAATAAGGCCTATGGGTGACATAATTACCAAAATACCCCTAATGTGAATGTTCACATCCTATGGGTGGCATAATTACCAAAATACCCCTAATGTGAATGTTCACATCCTATGGGTGGCATAATTACCAAAATACCCCTAATGTGAATGTTCACATCCTATGGGTGGCATAATTACCAAAATACCCCTAATGTGAATGTTCACATCCTATGGGTGGCATAATTACCAAAATACCCCTAATGTGAATGTTCACATCCTATGGGTGGCATAATTACCAAAATACCCCTAATGTGAATGTTCACATCCTATGGGTGGCATAATTACCAAAATACCCCTAATGTGAATGTTCACATCCTATGGGTGGCATAATTACCAAAATACCCCTAATGTGAATGTTCACATCCTATGGGTGGCATAATTACCAAAATACCCCTAATGTGAATGTTCACATCCTATGGGTGGCATAATTACCAAAATACCCCTAATGTGAATGTTCACATCCTATGGGTGGCATAATTACCAAAATACCCCTAATGTGAATGTTCACATCCTATGGGTGGCATAATTACCAAAATACCCCTAATGTGAATGTTCACATCCTATGGGTGGCATAATTACCAAAATACCCCTAATGTGAATGTTCACATCCTATGGGTGGCATAATTACCAAAATACCCCTAATGTGAATGTTCACATCCTATGGGTGGCATAATTACCAAAATACCCCTAATGTGAATGTTCACATCCTATGGGTGGCATAATTACCAAAATACCCCTAATGTGAATGTTCACATCCTATGGGTGGCATAATTACCAAAATACCCCTAATGTGAATGTTCACATCCTATGGGTGGCATAATTACCAAAATACCCCTAATGTGAATGTTCACATCCTATGGGTGGCATAATTACCAAAATACCCCTAATGTGAATGTTCACATCCTATGGGT